CTCATCTCTTGTTTCCTCCCAGGATACATAAGGTGGGTATATGTGGAGGAGGAGGCAGTACCAGCATGCTCCACCGCACCAACAGCACCCACACCAACAGCACCGCCCCCTGCTACACCTTCACCACCCCCTCCTGTATTTGTGGAGGAGGACGCAGTACCAGCATGCTCCACCGCATCAACAGCACCGCCCCCTGCTCCACCAACACGGAAGCCCCGTGCTCCACCAACACTGGAGCCCCCTGCTCCACCAACACGGAAGCCCCGTGCTCCACCAACACTGGAGCCCCCTGCTCCACCAACACGGAAGCCCCGTGCTCCACCAACACTGGAGCCCCCTGCTCCACCAACACGGAAGCCCCGTGCTCCACCAACACTGGAGCCCCCTGCTCCACCAACACGGAAGCCCCGTGCTCCACCAACACTGGAGCCCCCTGCTCCACCAACACGGAAGCCCCGTGCTCCACCAACACTGGAGCCCCCTGCTCCACCAACACGGAAGCCCCGTGCTCCACCAACACTGGAGCCCCCTGCTCCACCAACACGGAAGCCCCGTGCTCCACCAACACTGGAGCCCCCTGCTCCACCAACACGGAAGCCCCGTGCTCCACCAACACTGGAGCCCCCTGCTCCACCAACACGGAAGCCCCGTGCTCCACCAACACTGGAGCCCCCTGCTCCACCAACACGGAAGCCCCGTGCTCCACCAACACTGGAGCCCCCTGCTCCACCAACACGGAAGCCCCGTGCTCCACCAACACTGGAGCCCCCTGCTCCACCAACACGGAAGCCCCGTGCTCCACCAACACTGGAGCCCCCTGCTCCACCAACACGGAAGCCCCGTGCTCCACCAACACTGGAGCCCCCTGCTCCACCAACACGGAAGCCCCGTGCTCCACCAACACTGGAGCCCCCTGCTCCACCAACACGGAAGCCCCGTGCTCCACCAACACTGGAGCCCCCTGCTCCACCAACACGGAAGCCCCGTGCTCCACCAACACTGGAGCCCCCTGCTCCACCAACACGGAAGCCCCGTGCTCCACCAACACTGGAGCCCCCTGCTCCACCAACACGGAAGCCCCGTGCTCCACCAACACTGGAGCCCCCTGCTCCACCAACACGGAAGCCCCGTGCTCCACCAACACTGGAGCCCCCTGCTCCACCAACACGGAAGCCCCGTGCTCCACCAACACTGGAGCCCCCTGCTCCACCAACACGGAAGCCCCGTGCTCCACCAACACTGGAGCCCCCTGCTCCACCAACACGGAAGCCCCGTGCTCCACCAACACTGGAGCCCCCTGCTCCACCAACACGGAAGCCCCGTGCTCCACCAACACTGGAGCCCCCTGCTCCACCAACACGGAAGCCCCGTGCTCCACCAACACTGGAGCCCCCTGCTCCACCAACACGGAAGCCCCGTGCTCCACCAACACTGGAGCCCCCTGCTCCACCAACACGGAAGCCCCGTGCTCCACCAACACTGGAGCCCCCTGCTCCACCAACACGGAAGCCCCGTGCTCCACCAACACTGGAGCCCCCTGCTCCACCAACACGGAAGCCCCGTGCTCCACCAACACTGGAGCCCCCTGCTCCACCAACACGGAAGCCCCGTGCTCCACCAACACTGGAGCCCCCTGCTCCACCAACACGGAAGCCCCGTGCTCCACCAACACTGGAGCCCCCTGCTCCACCAACACGGAAGCCCCGTGCTCCACCAACACTGGAGCCCCCTGCTCCACCAACACGGAAGCCCCGTGCTCCACCAACACTGGAGCCCCCTGCTCCACCAACACGGAAGCCCCGTGCTCCACCAACACTGGAGCCCCCTGCTCCACCAACACGGAAGCCCCGTGCTCCACCAACACTGGAGCCCCCTGCTCCACCAACACGGAAGCCCCGTGCTCCACCAACACTGGAGCCCCCTGCTCCACCAACACGGAAGCCCCGTGCTCCACCAACACCGGCGCCCCCTGCTCCACCAGCTACAGGGGGCCGCTCCCTCTCCTTCAGCTCCACCCTCATCTCCCCCTCCTCCAATTCCACCACCAAGAGGGTAAAGTGGTGTGTATAGAAGGCTGCATTTAAATCTTTATAAAAGTTTATAGTTTTCTTTAATAAATCTAATAACTTTTTCAGAGTTATCTTAGGCCAAGCCAACTAGATTGGTTACTTGATCTTGTTGGGCTTATTTAGATGATTATAAACATTATAATAAAAAAAATCTTTGAAATACTTGTATGCCAACACCAACCTAACTGTGGCTGGATTTAAGTACTTGTGCAAATAAATAGGTCTTATAAGGACATCTAAAAATGCTTTGATCCAGAGAGGATCTAACATCCATAAGAATGCTATTCCAGAGCTTAGGACCCACCACTACAGTGCCGTGCCTCCACAGGATTTCAGTCTGGATCTAAGAATGTTAAGAAGTAGCTGATGGCATCAACTCCAACTCCACCCTCCTCTCCCCCTCCTCCAACTCCACCCTCCTCTCCCCCTCCTCCAACTCACACCACCAGCCCCTCAAACTCAACTCTGCACTATGATGGCAGTATGCTGAGTAATTTCCTGTTTTGCATGAAGAACACATTAATCCCTGGCTCACCCTTCTCTGCAAGTCCAACAGAAAATCCTGTTCTGTTTTGACTGTGTTGCTCAACTGGCAAACAGGTCCTGCTCAGCACTGGTGATAAGCTCTGTGGGTTTGACTGAGGTAACACAGGACTCTGAGTGCTCTGTAGAGGGTGAAGGCCACATCTGGATCTCTGAACCTCGGCCTCCAAATCGTTTTTGGAGAGGGCTCTCACCCCACTTATGACTGCTTTACTGCAGAGGTTCTTATCATTACTACAGAGGAAAGAAGATGAGGATGTTTTTAAATCAGCTGGAAGTAATAACATAACATTAAGACAGCTGACAACTTAATTTTTTCTACCTTTACTGAAAAAAAAAAAGCATCAGTAACACTGTGTAGAATTAGAGGCAATCCGAGAAATAGGTCAAAAAGAAAAAGAAAGTGACAACTCAATAATTGCTACTATATGAAACTATCAAACTATAACTCAGTTGTCCATATTGAACAGTAATGCTGCCATATTAAATAGAATATGAACAAAAAGTCAATAATAATGTCTTAATCACATAACACATTCATTTGTAAAAATAAAGATATTTTTCCTTTCTCATACTGGGTTGAAAGCCACCCTCATTAATTCAAAATATAGTCCTTCTCCAAATTGAAAAATTGGTGTTTGGCAATGTCACTTTGAGTCAATATAAAACTGGAAATGCATTTTTTTAAAATGTGAATACGGATTTGATTTCGGTACGGGAACCCATCATTGACTTTGATGAGCGCAGAGAAGAAACGAACTGGTATGTAACCTACATCAGTGGTCCCCAACCCCCGGGCCGCGGACCGGTACCGGTCCGTGGATCAATTGGTACCGGGCCGTACAAGAAATTATTAATTATTTCCGTTTTATTTATTATCTGAGTCTGAACGATCTTTTATTTTGAAAAATGACCGCATTCTCTCGGTTACATCTCGGTCACTTGAGCGCCAAAACTGGCTTACTTGTGCGACATATTCAGCCTGCTCAATGAACTCAATCTGTCACTTCAGGGGAAAATGACAACTGTCTTCAAGTTGACAGATAAAGTAGCTGCATTTAAAGCCAAACTGGATTTGTGGGGACGGCGCGTCAACAGAGGCATTTTGGACATGTTTCAAACATTAGCGGGGATTTTGGGTGAGACTGAGCCAGAGCCTTCATTCTCCCAGCTGGTGCACGATCACCTGTCTTTGCTTTTAAAAGAGTTCGAGCGCTACTCCCCAGCCACAAAGGACCCACGAACTGCCAAGGAATGGATCCGCAACCCATTTGTCAACAAACCAGGTGAATCCAGCAGGTCTGTGCAAGAAGAAGATCAACTGCTGGAGATCGCAAATGACGACGGCCTTAAAAGTATGTTCGAGACAACAACTCTGTCGGTGTTCTGGATTAAAGTCATGACAGAATACCCTGAGATCGCCACCACAGCACTGAAAACCCTGTTGCCATTTCCGACATCCTATCTGTGTGAAGCAAACAAAACAACGGAGTAGACTGAACATAAGCAACACACTT